TCCTTCAAGCATTTCATCCACTTTCATAGTTTCATTGAGAATATCTAGGCGTCCCAAATCTATCTCACTCCCAGCCTTAGACCAGCATTTAAAACTTTTTATGTAACTTGTCCACTGTTTGGCCAAATTCAAACTCCTCATCTTCCATGCATAACAGCTCCTCCTCCTGTTTTCCCAGTCTTGACTAACAGCACATAGGCTACTTCTCTCACACATAACTGGACTTAGCGTGAACTTTCTCCACTACCATTATCATTATTTTCCTTATTCATTGTTTTTTTTTTTCAAACCAAGAATTCCTGCATTTTTCAAATTCATGGTATCTCTTCTGCATATATTTACAAAAAGATTGAACCAAATAAAAGTGGCTTTGAAGGGTTCTTTTAAAACTTAAACAGAGCATAGAACTCTCATCATCTTCAACATACATGGCCCAGACGAGACCACTCAAATTCTTTCCCCGAGTTTATTTTTAAGTAGAATGAACTTAGAATCATAAAATCAGAATTATAGAACTCTTAAATTTTAGGGCCAAGACTGTCATGGCTGCTGCCTTTTCATCTCCTACACCCACCAGGTAGAGAAAACCTATCTGCAGTGGCTAAGAATAAAGCAGAGAAATGGATGGAGAGAAGATTCTGGAGGGATATTATTGAGCCTAATTCCAAACACTTAAGTTCCCAGAGCTTCTCTAGTTTCAGTGAGTTCTTTCATTCTATGAGCCCCTACCGGCTCATAAATCCCATTTTTACTTGTACCATTTTTAGTTGGATATCTGTCAGCAGCAACCAAAAGGATTTGAAAATATACCGTTCATATTCTGTTCACAAATTAATCCATTTTCCAAAATATTATTTCTTCCCTCCTCAAAACTTCTTGCTCTAACTTACTTTCCCAATACTATGGTTGTTTTTTTTTTTTGTGTGTGTGTGTGTGTGTACAGCCTAGAAAGTGTCTATTCACTGTCCCATACATATACCTGAGCTTTCCTTCATTGTCATTCTCTCTTCCCCTTTTCTAGCAGTTGAAACTGTATATATCTATCTACTGCTCAAAATTCACCACTTAGAGGATTCCTCGACTTCTGTGACTTGTATCTCTTTTGAGCTTACTATGGTGTAAGCTTCTCATTGGTTGAAGGATATTTTCCATCCATGTGTGTATCTGCCACCACTTCATCCCCCAGCACAAGGCCTTGAAGACAAGTGCTTAATAAATTCTGATTCCTTGGTCTCAATAAGAGTATGACCAGCCACCAATTTTTGTATAATATGCATTTCTTTTATTCTAACATGGACATTTTTCACAATTTAATATTGGCAAAATCAAGATTCATCTTCTACTCATCAACATGCCATAATTTAATTAACATTTTTCCTCTCTTAATGGTACATAAAATATGAGTGCATCTTACATTTGATAATATTTTAGATTATGTAAAATAAAATATTGTTCCAGCCCTGATAACAATTGCATTTGATTCTCTGTCTTCCTACCTCTAGGGTAAATCATTCCACATTTTCAACATTTCCTTGGTTCCCTTTTCTATTCCTACTATTGTTATTGTCTCTAGTTCACCTCCTTTAATTTCACTTTCTGAAATATAATCAGACCACTATATTACAATCAGTCAGTGCTACCATTGCATCATGGTCCCACATGACAAAACAGTGTATATGATTCTAAATATGATTGCTATAGAGTTAACTCCAGTTAAATGTATAAACTAGCAAAAATACTCTATTTGTTTTAAGTTGTGAATAGGCAACCATGTTACAGGAACCATATTTTATGAAAACAGCATAGTTAGAAGCAAAATAGTGTTGAATTTAAATAAGACTTACAACCAAAGCAATATGACATATTTAATGATAACGTAATTATTATTTTTTGAGCAGCATTGTGGTCTGGGAGAGTCTCAAGATATGAAAGATTTCTAAACAAGTCCAGAGCCCCGTATCATCCAATCATTTTTGTTTGCACATTTTCATTCTTCACTGATTTGTGAAGCTGGAAAATCCAGTGGTCTTGAGGAAGGCAAGTCCATGGTGGGGAAGTTGTCCTCATTAGCATCCGCATGATAGGGATCTTGCCCTACAAACCCTATTCTCCACACTAGAATCTTCAGTTCCAAACTTTCCTCCCTCCCTACATACCTTTGCTCAGGCCAATCCCTTCATCTAGAGTGCTAACAGAACTTTCTGCCATTGTGGAAATGTTCTACAGCTCTGGATTGTCCACTGCAGTAGCCACCAGTACTTATGGCTATGGAACAGAGCACTTAAAGTGTGATTAGTGCAACTGAGAAACTGAGTTTTCAGTTTCATTTAACTTTAATTTAGACTTAAACAGACATGTAGCTAATGGCTACCATATTAGACAGAATATACCTAGCATGTTTTTTGCCCCAGTTTTTCTCCTTAAAATTCCTGACCTTCAAGGGGTATCTCAGGGGCTGCTTTCTCCATGAGGTCCCATCTTCCAGTCTTCCAAGTGGAATTCATTTTTTTCCTTTTTCAAGATTCTCAGCATCCATTGAACCATTATGTGTTAAGCACTTTTTTATGATTTGAATGCATCCCTCCAAATTTCATTTGTTGGGAACTTGATCGCTAAATTTATATGCTAATGATATTTGGAAGTGGAGCCTATGGGAGGTAGTCAAGATGAGATGAGGTCAAGTGCATAGGTTTCTATGATAGCATTGTGACTTTATAAGAAGAGAAAGAGAGACCCAAACCAGCACATCTGCTCTGTCTTGCCAGGTGAGTCTCTGTGCCATGAAGAGCAAGAAGGCTCTTACCAGATGCTGACATGTTCTTGGACTTCCCAGGCTCCAGAACTGTGAGCCAAATAAACTTCTATTCTTCAGAAATTACCCAGTGTTTGGCATTTTGTTATAACACCAGAAAATGGACTAGGACAACACTTTTTTTAATTTACAGGTATTTATCTGCCATTTCCTTTGCTTATCTCCTCTTTGAGAGCTGTGACTACTCTTCTTAATTGGGACCCCACCACATCCAGTGCAGGGTTGCTATAAAATGTTTATTGCTTGAATATATAGCAGTAGCATAGCAATTGACAATAACAGTAAGGAATTGGCAAGGATTGTCACATAGTAAAAGATTAACCTTGGGTTTTAAAAAAAAATTTTCTCCTTGGATCCTAGCTCCCAGGAGATAGCCTCTAAACCCTTAAAATGTCTTGTTTCGTAGTAGGGCCTTTGCCTGGGCCACAATAGGTAGTTTATGCTAATAATGTATGATGGGACCATGGGCCACAGTGTTAGCCCAACCTCTAGAAAGGCTGGAGGCTAAAGTCATCCATGTGTGTGATCAGTATATCTATGTGGCCCATCTCCAATAAAAACTGTGCACCTTGATGAGCTTGAGTGAGTTTCCTTGGATGACACTATTCCATGCACATTGTCACACATCATTGATGGGAAAAATAAGTGAAATCCAAATAGCTCCAATAGATGAGAACAATTCAGAGTTCTGCTCCTGTCTCTCCTAGACCCTCCCTTTCCCTTTGATGATTTTAGTCCATATTCATTTGCTGTTATTAATTGTGACCATGATGGTATTGGTTTTTCTGAGTTCTGTGAGTCGAGAATTATTAAACCCTAAGATGGTGTTAGAAACCTACTGAACTTGCAGTCTCCCAAGATAAAATATGTCATTACAGTGTCGGGAGCTATCCCAGCTGAGAGTTCAGCTCCTTGAGTTCTGCCCCATCACTCAGCTTCTGGCCTGGTGGGCAGAAAGTCACAGGAAGATCAAGGCTGGTGGCCTGATCATCCAAAATGATGAGTCTGTGTCTCAACATGAGCAAGGGACTGGTGAGACAGTGTCTGGGACCAGATTTATATAAGGAGTATATAAGGTGACAGAGGGAATCAGTAGATGAATGACCCTGGGGAAGAAACGGAGAAATGGGAATGAATAGGGCAGCCACACAGTCAGTCCAAGTGAGGGAGTAAAAGGACAGGTAGCCACAGGCCCCTGACTTAAAACTCCTAGAGGTCCTGGTATCCGTGCGCACTGCAGTCCTCAGAGCTAATCCCTACCCCTGACAGTCATGAACTGTGGAGCAGACTCCACAGGCCAGATTTGTTTTAAGGCAGGGTGTGCCTTGTCTTTTGCTGATCATATTTCTACTCTTGACTAAACACCCAGACCCTGGCAAGAAGCTGTCAGGAGGAAGCTGTCAATGAGGAATAAAGCAAAACAATGTCCTTCAGTGAGCAAGGAAACTTGGGGTGGGTGTTCCCTATATCTCCCCCAAAACAACTTCTGATTCCCAGTGCAGTAATTTAAAGGAAGAGCCCTCTTAGCAAAGTCATATCCTTTATACCACCTAAAATTCCACTAGTTAGAGATCCACTCCAGTTTTCTAGCAACCTCCTGAAACAGGCTTCAGGGACATGACCCACAACTTAGTACAGATTCAATAAGTCAGATTCCTTTCCTAACTCCAGACTTAGCTGCATTAGAGGAAAGGTCACTAGCTTGTGGAAGTAAAGGAGAAATCACTCCAGAGTGTGAAGCCCTTCTGGTTAAAGTAGGTGGGATCACTGGGGTAGGGGACCAAACTTAGACACAGGGATTATAATTATCATCATTATTGACACTATTCTGCTGGAGAAGAAGGGAAAGAGCCCAGAAACAGAAGTAAGATGGTATCTGAAACTGGTTTCACACTGACCCACACCCCTTCTCCCTAAAACCAAGTTGTACTCTCACTAGTTCTCAAGTCCCCATCCTTCTCCCAGTCATAGGCTCTACCACATGGAGATTCCAGGAGAGAAACATAGCGCTGGCTTCATGAGGATATCACCGGAGACAGAATTGCTTTTATAGACAAACCTGGAGTAAAATCACCAGTAAACAAAATGGGTCTGTGGGGTAGGGTAAATGGGGTTGAGGGAGCAGAGGGGCAGAAGCACATTATGATGAGTGTCGAATAAGCACAGCTTAAAGAAGTTCAATGGGGAAAGAGACTTTGTTCATTTCCACAGTTCCTGGCACAGGGTGGGACCTTAATATTTAATGAAAAGTTGAATGGATGGGTGAATGTATTACAAAATCACATGTGTTACCAGAATGACATGGGCTAAATCACTTCCTGTCTAGGATCTGAGTTAAGTTAGCTAGTTTGTTTGCTTGTTTTCCTTTCTAGGCACTTAATCCAGTTGTATGGGTTCACAGATATTTTGTTCCCTATTTCCTGTCTCCTACCTAGAACACTCGTAAGCTTGCCTGTCGTTTTCCCTACCCTTTCACAGATGAATTCTAGGTTTATGAGGGTCTTGGAACATCTTGGAGGCATTTGAGTCTTTCGGGTTTTTTGTTTTGTTTTGTTTTTAACAGGAGGGGATTTCTTGTGAACAAGTTCTCGTGCAAGAGCAGAAGACAGTTCTGTTCAGAAAGGTGTAAAGAGTGACACAGACAGAGTGCAAACAAGGAGTAAACCCACTAGGTCAGGGTGAGGGCAGCCGGAAGGCCCCCGGGCTCTTCTGAGAGGGGGGTGCTGCTCATGGCGGTCCAGGAGCTTCTGCTCTGTGTGTGTGTCCACCAATGGATGTCCATGCCCTTATATAGGCATGGCCTTGGAGCCCCTAGGAAAACACTGACCAATAAATTAAATTGAAAAATATGTAGGAGGCAGGGAATATCAACCTGGAGTATTTGTCAATGGCATGGGTGTTCTGGAAGAGGCGGAGCCCCACCTGGCCCTTGAGAAGCCCCCTTTTCCTGGAGGAGCTAGACTCACTGCCCAGGGCCAGGTGGACCACTATTTTATCTTGCTTTTCTTCTTCTGTCAGAATATGGTTTCTTGGGTACCCAGCCAGGCTGTTGGCCTCAGACTCACTGCAGCTTCCATCCAGCATCATGGTTTTTGAATGAGGCATTCCACACATGCATGGGACCTAAGGGCAGCAAGCACAAAGGACTTGGTTAGTCCTTAAGAGCTGGGCAGAGACGGCCTGGCTTGAAAGCAAAGCCCCAGTGCTACTCAGAAGCACAGAAAGAGCTAGAAGGATCTCCAGAGAGCATTTAGTCCAATGATTTTCTATCCTGGCTGCATATCAGAATCACCCAGGCCAAACCCAGGCCCCATTCCAAACTAATTAATTTAAAACTCCTGGTAATTCTACTGTGCTGCCAGAATTGAGAATAACTGATATAGCCCAATTGTAAAAGCAAAAACCCAGACCCCAGAGAGGTATACAATTGTCCTGAGCTTCCACAGGTAGTTTCAGAGCCAGGAATTTAAACCCATAGATTCTGATTCCAGTTTTTTTTTTTTTTTTTTTTAGTACTGGGGATTAAACTCAGGGATACTTGACCACTGAGCCACATCCCCAGCCCTATTTTGTATTTTATTTAGTGACAGGGTCTCACTGAGTTGCTTAGCACCTTGCTTTTTGCTGAGGTTGGCTTTGAACTCGAAATCCTCCTGCCTCAGCCTCCTGAGCCACTGGGATTATAGGCAAGTGCCACTGCACCCAGCAGGATTCCATCTTTTTGTACATGAATCAAAAGATGATTAGAGGGCTGCAATTGTGACTCTGGGGTTGTGGGTAGAGTGCTTGCCTAGCACATGTGAGGCACTGGGTTTCATCCTTAGCACCACATGAAAATTAATAAATAAAATATTGTGTCTATCTACAACTAAAAAAAAATTTTAAAAAGATGATTAAGTAGAAAAGTGTCCTTACTCCAAATAGTTAACATTTAAGAGTAAAGGGTCATGATGCACCAACAAAAATATGTTTAAATGGGGAAAGAGCGCTCACAAAAATAGCAAATTAATGACGTTAGATCTAGTTGTGGAGTATATAAATGTAGACTATCCTATTCTTTAAATTATTTCTGCAAGTATGAAAATATTTATAAGGAATTCTAAGTTGGAGGGAGGACATGGTTTCTCTTGTTTTCTCCTCACAGCTGGAATCAGTAGTGAGCAGGCTCCAGCAGGCATCTGGGCTTGTCTGTGTTGGCCAAAAGCATGAGGCCTACTAGATACAGCCAACTGGCCATGGGCTTATTCTTCTCCATCTTTTGACTTTAATTACATTTCTGATCTGGCTCTCAGCCCTTTACTGCCTCTGTCTTTACCACCTGGGAAAGTGAAATAATGACATTTCACAACCTGCCTCCTACTATTATAGGTCTTGAAATACTCAGGTGAATGTCATGAAGCTTTCAAATGCAAAAATAGATGAATGATTTATTGCAAAATTAGATTACTTGAACTATTCTTATGCTTGAAGAGATCATTGTGGTTTAGGAGGTATTTTTAAAATCAAGTATGATTGCTTCATTATTCTTTCTATCCCTTGTTCCCATCAGTAACAGTAATTAGTAACACATTAATACCTTCCTGAACAATTAACAGACTTATAGGATCAAAAGGTCAGTAAGCGATCATCTATCCAACTGTGCGCACTTAGGTATAATCACACTGAATCCTTAATAAACTTGTGAGGTATTGTCATGGGGGTCTGTTTAGGTACTTTCTTAATAAAAGCACAGGTTTTTACTTTGCTCAAACTGAAATTCTTTCTGCTAAAATGAAAACACTTTTCTCCTAGAGTTTGGAGTTAGAATAGGAAATGCCAAAAATTATGAGAAATTCCTGTTTTTCATATCAGCTTGTTCCTCAGAAAGGGCAAGTGGCCCTTAGCCTATTAGGTCTGGATAATCAGCCTGCATACTACATCCCTGTGCCTCCCGCATGCTCCAAAGCAGCAGTGGCTCCACATTGGAACCAGGGGTGAGCCTATCAGGCCCCAGGCAGGAAGGCTTTGACCTTTATGCAGACAAAGTCAGACTCCAGCTTGTTATAAGTGCGGATCCATGATGCCATCCTCAGAGACTCTGAATCAGAAAGTTTTGGGGTTTGGCCCTGGAATCTTTTTATTTATTTGTTGGTTTGTTTGCTTTGCAGTATTGGAGATAGAATCCAGGGCCTCCTCATGCATGCTAGGCAAGCACTCTACCACTGAGCTACACCCCCAGTCAGGAATTTTTATTTTTAACAGACATGGGAAGTGATTCCAGGGCAGGTCCTTCTTGGCTCAGATTTGGGAACCTGGGCTTCTCTGGGAGTCCGTTTAATGATCATGAAGTGTGCTTTCTCTGTGGCGCAGCAGAAGAGAGATTTACTGTCTTCCCACCACTGCCTGCCCTGCAGCTACTACCTTTCCATCTTTAATTCACACACTGACCCCAGTGGAGCAGAAATTGTCATACTTTCCCATTCCACATCTGTTCTCACACAAACAGACAGATGTAAGGGCCCAATGACCTATTACTCTGTAAACAGAGTCTTATAAAAATCACTGACAACGATCATGACCCATAGTATTAATGAACTGCCTGGATAGACATGTGGTTAATGGTTCATGAGCCCATATTTGTCAGATGCAAGCTTTGCTATTTTTTGAACAGGTAAGTCTATGGATTGTAAATCAAAAGCATTTAAATATAATCCAAAGGAATTTGATAACAATGCAAAAATAATTGAAAACTCAAACAAGTATGCAAATACTAATGTAAAAAATTTTGAATTAAAAATAAATTCTTAATATATTTGAAGACAATGTGAAAAATTTGATAGGTATTATGTGTGTATTGAAAGGCTATTTTTTAAAAGCAAACATTTCTTTTTCTAAAATTTAAAGCTCCCTTGTGCTAAGGGACCAACAGTCACCCAGATGTGCACAAATGTGTGATTTTTCATGTTTTCTGATCTCTATAGCTTTTAGGTGATGGACATTTTGATTAGTGCAGTGATTAGTAATGACTTGGTAATAAGTCAGCATTTTATTTCTTACTGTGATTAACAAGCATTAGAATATGAATGAAATAGACTTTTCTTTCTGTGCCAAAGGCCCATGAACATTGCTTTGTAAGATTTCCCATTTGCCTTCTACCTCACAGTGTGGTGTGGTATATAGTGCAATGCAGTGTAGACCCTATAGTATTTCCAGTGAGCCTAATGGCTAAAATATTAGCCTTTACGTTTACTGTGCCTAAATTTTCCCAGGGTCAAAACACCTATCAATAAAGCAGCTTTAGGGCTGGGGTTGTGGCTCAGTGGTAGTGCACTTGCCTAGCATGTGTGAGGTACTAGGTTTGATCCTTAGCATCACATATAAATAAATAAAAATAAAGGCCCATCAACAACTAAACAACAACAACAACAAAAGCAGCTTTATGTTCTAGAATTCTCCCCTCCTCTGGTCACAGAACCAGGAAGTATTTTCCCTGACATGTTCAATAACATTGGTAATATTTTGTGTGACTAGGACCCTACAGTTTCAAATAACTTTTATATATTGCCTTATGTGACTCTTACAACAACCCTGGGAGGAAGGTAGAAGTGGGTTCTGTAATCCCCTTTTTACAGATGAGGAAACAGGCCAGCCTCAGGTGGCAGAATTGTGCCTAAATCCAAGTTTTCTTTTTCCTAGTCTTTGATCAAAAACTGTTCTTTGGGATCCTTTGTTGTAGAAGCTAGAACTTATTCTAACACAGGACCTTCCTCCTTGGGTATAAGCACCTCCTTTTTCTACATACAACACCCCCACACCACTCTTGGCCAACCACCTTCTCACTCTCATCCAACCAGAAGCAGCAGCTATAAGGAAATGAAGGGGCCACCCTCACCTTCTCCCGCAGCTTCCGTTCCTTCCACTCCTGAGACGTGGTCAGGTAGTTGACTGCTGCATACTCCAGCACCGAGAGGAACACGAACACAAAGCTGACCCAGAGGTAGATGTCCACGGCCTTGATGTAGGACACGCGGGGCATGGAGGCGTTCACGCCCGTGATGATGGTGGACATGGTCAGCACCGTCGTGATGCCTGCAACACCCAGACCCGTCAGCTGGCACAAGGCTCAGAGCTTCAGAGTCACAGTTTTACATTCTCTGACTCTTAGATGGAATGAGAAATTCCCTGGACATGTTTTTACCTTGTGGGGGTGGAATGATCTGCTCCCCAAGCAGCCAGGCACCCCAACCCCTTCCCCAGCACACCTCCACCCAGCCCCTTCTCCAAGTCCCCTCCACTAGCTTGGGAAAGTGGGTTTCTATGATACAGCTGACAAGGTCAGAAGTGATTAGGAAAGGACCTATTCTGCTGTGGAACTGACAACAATGACTGGAGGACACTTTTAAAGGAACTTTCCCAACCCTGAAAGAATGAGCATACTCTCCCTCATCTGAGTCCATTTATTAAGCCCAACTGTGGAAATTCTTGGAAGCCTTCATGCTAGTTTTTTCTCCATTGTGCTTTGCTGGTTAAACCCTCCCGTTCCTCAGGGTCCAACCTGATTTTGTCCACACTGGGATGATGGGTTGTAAACTCTGACTGTGGAATTTAGGGTCTGGGAAGGGGTACAACCAAGGCCTCAGGAAAGCAGCTCTTCCTTTTCCCTAAATTATATGATATGATCCCTACCTCAAAGCCCTATCTAAACAAGAGCAGCAAAAGAAACTTTTGTATTTATAGAATAACTTTGGCATTTGCAGAATAATTTTATTCATCTAAATACTGAGCTCCAATACAGCCAGTTGTGGAAGTCTATGCCCCAGACAGGCTATATCCTTCTGAATTGGTACAACCCAAGTTGGTATAGTTCTAGCCAACTATGGTTTTCATAATGTTGTAGAGGAAACGGAGGCTTCATCTAAGAGACAGGTGGAATGGTTGCTTCTTCTGATTCCAAGAGGTAAAAACCTCTGAATTGGTTTTAAAACCTCTGAATTGGTTTTAAAACCTCTGAATATGGTTTTACTTTTCCTTTGCCTAGTAATCTTAAAAAAAAAAAAATTAGCCACCCGACCACACCGTATCAAGTGCTTTTACCCAGTGAAACTCTGGCGGGCACAGCTTTGTGGTCAATCCAGAAGGACACCCAGGACAGCATGACCATCAGGGTGGCAGGGAAATAGGTTTGGAGCAGGAAGAAGAAGATGTGTCGATGCAACGTGAAGTTAATGTACAGTCGGTTGTACCAGCCTGGGGAATACAGAAGTCAGTGAGATTTTGAGTACTTTCCTTTCCACAATCTAAGCCCTTTCTCCTATGAATAAGATCTTGACAATACTATCTAACTTCATAGCTGTTTGGAGAAAGGTAGAGCAAAACAGATATGTGTTTAGTTGTTGGTTTGGTTATGTGTTATTTGCAGACCACAACCATATTTGCGGAGTGATTGGCTGCTCAGGAGCATGAGAAGTCGGAGTGGTTCTATACCACCAAGGCAGGAGCCAGGACAGCTGGGTGCTCATCACTGTCCTCTTTATTGAGAGATGAGTCACTCATTCCACCCCATCACAAGAAGAAATAGGCCACCAATTCTACAGTCTGACATGAGTTCTACTCCTGATACCCATCCTCCTTATGGAAACCTGTTACCCCATGGGCCATTGCTCAGAAAAAAAAAATGGCAGCATGCATCTATTTCATTATGAAAATATGAGAATCACTGATTAATGGTTTTTAAAAGAGATTGACATTGTTAAACTTCAAATGACCCACAATCACTGAGACCCAAGGTGGGGTGAAGGACAGTGTGAATGTGAAGGGAACTAAAGCTGTCGGCACACCCTCATCTGCCTTCTGGTTCAGTCCAGTCTCCTCCAAGAACACCACAACTCACTGTTGTCCCAAAGTGGAGTACACACAACAGCAGTACAAGATGACTTGTGAAGTTCAGAAGAAGGTATTTTTTTGTTTGTTTCGTTATTAAAATCATCTTCTGATATGGAAAATGATACCAGTTTTCCACTGATTTCTTTTCGAAATAAGGTACAAAAAGGGACTTATAGAAAAAATTAAATCCATGACCACATGCATAGCCTACCAAGTAAGACAAACATGGCAGGAGTGTTATGCAAGTTTGCTGAGGTCTGGGAGACCTAGATTGAATCTGTCTTATTTGGGACATGGGGAGATGAGACTCTCAGAGGCTTCTCCAAGAACTCAACCTGAGTTTTGGATGAGCTTGGGTCACTTGAGTTATCTAGAGGTCAGGACTCTTCTCATACAGTGTCCCTTTAATTGAGCAGGTGGTCACATGCTGGGGCCTGAGGGGCAATCATAGAAGCCCAGCTCTTGCTTTCTTCCCTCAAGGATTTATAAAGAATTGAGTGGAGGTCCCATGAAATGAAAATGCTCACTGACATACTCAAGGTATGGAACCATGAATATCTAAGTGCTAAAATGTCCATCTAAAGTATAAACAGGAAAATCTTTAGGTTTTGAGACACAGAGCCCAAATTGCTATTGGCTATAATGACTAAGGAAGGCTCATAGAGGAGTTGAGTGCACACAGGACACGTGTGAAGGGAACTAAGGTTGATAGCACTCCAATACTGGACCTTTCCCAGAGAGGTTCTGATTTAGTCCATCTGGCTCAAGTGGAAGTTAGCAGAGTCAGGATACGTTAGAGGGGGGTCCACAGGACCAGGCTGGAGCCATTGGGTGAGTCCTGACAAATTTGCTATGGATATGGGTAGACTCCTGAGTTGTTGAATGGGATAGGTGCTTTTAGGGGAATGAATAAATAGGAAGGGATCTTCAACTCTAGTGAGACAGCTAATCATTTTTTCATCCAACAGCTTTTGTTCAGGCTTGTTGGCTTTATTTTCCCTACTCAAATTGACATCTTTGAAGCAAATCACACTAATCCTTAGGTTTGCACCAGACCTTTTTAGAGGACCAATAGCTGCTTTTATTTTTATTAAACTATTAATACTCATTATCCTTCCTTCTAAGAAAATCAGAAAGAGTTTTCCTGAAAACATTGGGAGGGATCCAGGAGCTTTGAACATGTACACTCTGTGTGGCAAGCAGAACGCTCCTGGGTGGCATCACTGCTCCCATGCCAAGGAACACGAAACCTTGCTTGTGTGGTACATGGTGAATAATGGGAGTGAAGATGCATTTTAATCTGTACTCTAGAAAGACTGGGGAACAAAACAGACAAGCATGCTATTCCAGTAAAGAGAATATCTAAGAGGAGTACACATGGGAATTAAGGAGATTACATGGCCACTTACCAACTGTGCAACTTCAACCAGTAGCTTAATCCCTGAGTCTCAGTTTTTTCATCTGCAAACTGGGAATGATAATATCTACACCACAAATTTGTTGGGTAGAAATATGTTAATTAATATGAAGGGCTTAAAACAGTGGCATATAATAGGAGTTATATAAGAAACTCTCAATAACGGCTTTGTTGATTTGAACTTGGTGAGAACAATGAGAAAAGAAAATTGTGTGGCACACATAATCAGAGTGAAAGTGGAGAGATGGAAGAGGATGAGTGCCTTGGCCATACTCAAGCAGACCTGAGTTGCCCTGACACCTAAACAATCTTTTGCAGTGTTTGATGCTATGAACCCAAGGGTGTTGTGGAGGCAGATGCAGGCCAGGGAGGAACAGGAAGTCTTGCTAAAACCTCCTGAAGAAGGAAGTAGATTTCTCAGTGCTGGGACAAAGGGAAAAGATGTGAAAAGGCTGCTGGGGTCCCAAAGCCACTAGGGAACTATTATAGGTTGAATTGTGTTCCCTAAAAAAAATGTTGAAATTTCTAGACACATATGACCTACCCAAATTAAACCAAGAGATATAGAAAATTTAAACAGACAATAACAAGCAATAAGATGGAAGCAGTCATTAAAATCTAGGACCAGATGGATTCTCGGATTAATTATGTCAGACTTTTAAAGACAAACTAATGTTAATGTTCCTCAAATTATTCCATGAAATAGAAAGGGATAGAACACCTCCAAATACATTCATAAAATCAATATCACCTTCATACCCAAACCAGATAAGGACAAATCAAGGAAACAAAACTACAGACCAATATCCCTGATGAATTTAGGTGCAAAAATCCCTAATAAAATATTAGCAATCTGCATTCAAAAACACATTGTACATTACAATCAAGTTGATTTCATTCCAGGAATGTAAGATTGGTACAATAAATGCGATTCATCACAAAAATAGAATTAAGGACAAAAACTACATGTTCATCTCAATAGATACAGAAAAAGTCTTGGACAAAATTTAATACCCATTCATGTTACATACAAACACTGAAGAGACTAGGGATAGAAGGAGCTAATCTCATCATCATAAATACTATGACAAGCCCAAAGCCAACACCATACTGAATGAATGGGGAAAAGCTTAAAGAATTTCCTCCCAAATCAGGAACAAGATTCTCAGTTCACTCATACTACTGTTATTTTGGGGTATGAGGGTTAGAGGCATGGGGATTGTACCCAGGGCATTTAACCACTGACTCATATCCCCAGACCTGTTTATTTTCTACTTTGAGACAGGGTCTCTCTGAGTTGCTTAGGGCCTCCCTAAGTTGCTAAGGCTGGTTTTGAACTTGCAATCCTCGGCCTCCCAAGCCATTGGGATTACAGGTGTGTACCACTGTGCTGGGCTCACCATGGCTATTTTTTATATAGTTCTTGAAGTTCTATATAGAGCAATCAGGCAAGAAAAAGAAATAAAAGGATATAAATAGGAAAAGAAGAAGTCAAATTATCACTGTTTGCAGATGATATGATCCTGTACTTAGAAGACTCAAAAAACTTCACTAAAAGTCTTTTTGTCTTGATAAATAAATTCAGCAAAGTAGTAGGGCATAAGACCAACATTCAAAAATCAATAGTTTTCCATTACACCAATAACTAACCTGATGAAAAAAAAAAATCAGGCAAACAATTCCTTCACAATAGTCTCAAAACAAACAAAAAAACCCCCCACAAAACCTGGAAATCAATCTAACCAAGGAGGTAAGAGAGCTCTACAATGAAAATTATAGAACACCAAAGAAAGAAATTGAAGAAGACATTAAAAGATGAGGAAACATCCTATATTCGTGGATAGGCAGTATTACTATTATTAAAATGGCCATATGACCAAAAGCAACCTGCAGATTCAATTCACTCTCCATTAGAATTCCAATGACATTCTTCATAGAACTGGAAAAAGTAATCCTAAAATTCATATGGAAGAATTAAATATCCAGAATAGCCAAAGAAATCCTGAGTAATAAGAACAAGGCTGGAGGCATCACAATACTTGTTCTCAAATTGTACTACAATAGTAACAAAAACGGCATGATACAAAGCCCAAATGGAATAGAACAGAGTAGAAGACAGAGAGACAAACCCACACAGATATGATCATCTCATCTTTGACAAAGGTGCCAAAAACATAAGGTGGAAAAAAGAAAGACTTTCTAACAAATGGTGTTGGGAAAACTGGATAACCACTTGGAGAAGAAGTAAACTATTTATCACCCTCCACAAAAGTCAACTCAAAATGGATGAAAGACCTAGGAGGTAAATCAGAAACTGTGCAACTGATAAAAGAAAACATAGGGTCAACACTCTAACACAGGTGCAGGCATTGACTTCTTTAATAAGACTTATAAAGTGCAAGAAATAAAACCAAGAATAAATAAGTGGGATGGCAGCAAATTTTAAAAGCTTCTTCTGCATAACAAAGGAAACAATAACATGAAAAGAGCCTACAAAATAGAAGAGATCTTTGCTGGTTACTCTCTGACAGAGGATTAATATCCAGAATATACAAAGAACTTAAAAATTTAACATACACACCCACTCAAATTAATCAATAAATGGACAAATGAATTAAACAGACATTTCTCCAAAAAGAAATGCAAATGGCCAGCAAATACATGAAAAAAATGTGCAATATCATTAATAGTCAGGGAAATGCAAATCAAAACTACAAGAGATGTCATCTCAAAACGGAATCACAGTCACCAAGAATATAAATAATAATAAATGCCAGCAAGAATATGGGGAGAAAGGAACAATTATTGGTGGGACTGTAAATTAGTACTACTGTGAAAATCATTGTGGAGATTCCTCAAGAGACTAGAATGGGACCACCATGTGATCCAGCTATTTTACTCCTTAGTATTTATCCAAAGACCTGAAATCAGTATATGACCATGATACATGTGTACCAATGTTTATAGTAACACAATTCACAACAGCCAGGTTATGGAACCAGCTTAAGTGTCTGTTGACAAATACATGGGTAAAGAAAATATGGTATATCTACACATTGTAGTTCTACTTAGCTGGACAGAAGAATAAAATTCTGTCATTTATACGTAAATGGATGAACTGGAGAACATCATGCTAAGTGCTCAGAAAGTTAAGGTTTGAGGGGAGCCTGAGTGGTGTAAAGAAAAAGAGGTGAGAACAATCTTTGGATCAACCAAAGCTGCACTCTGCTGCATCTCTGTGTCCAGTACCTGTGTCCTGCTACCATCACCATCATGCCCAATATCACTACACTGAAGGGGATGTCAAAGGAGATAAAGCCAAGGTGAAGGATGAACTACAGAGAAGATCCACAAGGTTGTCTGCTAAACCTGCTCCTCCAATACCAGAGCCCAAGCCTAAAAAGGCCCCTGCAAAGAAGGGAGAGAAGGTATCCAAAGGGAAAAGGGAAACCTGTCGACGACAAGGATGGGAATAACCCTGCAGAAAATGGAGATACCCAAACAGACCAGGCACAGAAAGCTAACGGTGCCATTGCTGCCAAAGGAAGTGTGTGCATTTTTGATAACTGGGTCCTTCTGATGACTGAATAGTTTGAAATACTATTTTTTATCAAGTTTTATAAAAATGCAGAATTTTGTTTTACTTTATTTTTTAAAAAGCTATGTTGTTAGCACACAGAACACCTCATTGTTGTTTGGGAGAGAAGGAGCATATGTCACTAGTAGAATGTCTCCAAAGCTGGATTCCTGTGGGGAACACCTTTCCCTGCCATTTTTAGAGACTTTCTCTTGGCTCCCAAGAGAAGGGACTTCCTGATATTGGCACACATAGCCACCTTGGCACAAACGCCTTGCGGTATGGAAAAACTCAAATTCATCTTTATGTCCTCCTCTCCCTCTCCACTAACAGCATAGACTTAATGCCCCTAAACTCAGACAAGTTGGGACCTGACTTCCAACAATTGGTTTTACCAGTGTGTCAGGCAATCTGGACTTTCCAGTGACATCATTGAGATAGTGTTCCTCAGAAAAGCAGTAGTTCCTTTTTTAGATTGTGGACCTTAAGACTGATAATTCTGCCATATTCATTTCATTTTCTAAAAGTCAGGGTTGACTCATGAAAAGTTGTTAAACAACATGCTAAACGTGAAATGTCAATACTCACTCTAAACTTTCCCTATTCAGAGCATCAAATGAAGACTTAATAGGGCTTTATAGTGGCTTCCTAATTTTTGTGTCTATCCAAGAAGGGAATTTGAAAGTTGTTGTATACTGTTAGTGATTGTCTGCCTGAAATACCATGTCTGTTTATGAAAATTATCTTTAATAAAGCTGGATACAGTTTGGATTAGAAAAAGAAAGTCAAGAATTGAATGTTTTCCCTAACATGTGGAAGTTACAGAGAAGCACAGAATTTTACAAAGGTGTGATCTCATGAAAATAGAATGAAGATTAGTAGAGGAAGGATAATGGATCAAGGGGGATGGAGGAAGGAAGGGAAAGGGGGAAGAACGAGGGAATAAAATCAACTACATTATATTGATTCATACTTTCATGAATATACAACAACAAATCCCACTTTGATGTGTAATTATAATGTATTAATAAAAAAATATATATATACATATACTTGGAAATAAATAAAAAGAAGACCAGAAGAGAAAATGAAGGGACAGGGGAAAGGGGCAAGGAGAGGGAAAGGGGAAGTACTGAGGAGTGAATTGAAGCAAATTATGTTATGTACATATATGAATGTCACAATGAGCTCCACTGATACATATAATTATAATGCACTAATAAAAACATTAAGAAGGGACCTCAGGAAAATAGAAGGGAGACAGGTGAGTTGAGGAAAGTGACTGGGGGAGTAAGGAGAGGAGGGAAAGGGGAAATACTGAGGAATGAAAGTGATGTAATTGTGCTATGGGCCAGTACAAACATGTCACAATGAATCTCATTATTATGTGTAATCATAATGCACCAATAAAAACATAAGATCATAAAAATTCTTAAAAGTACATTATTACTCTGTCTCTTCCCCAGACTCACATGATATGGCAATTAACTTACAATATTAACCTGCAAAAAAATTTTTTTAAATTATATGTATATATATGGAATTTCTAATTCCCAGTACCTATGAAGGTGACATCATGACCTCATTTTGATATAGGGTCTTTGCAGATAGAATAGAGATAAAATGAGATTATAATGGATTAAGTTAGGCCCTAATCCAATAGCTGGTATCCTTACAGAAGAGGGAAATTTGGGCCTACACACACACACACAGAGGACACCCGGTGAGTATACAGAGACAAGGGGGTGCCATGTGATGGCGGAGGTAGAGACTGAAGTGTGGCTACAAGCCAGGGAATGTCAAGAACTGCTGGCAACCACCAGAAGCTGGGCATAGGCAGGAAGGGTTCTTCCCTAGACAAGAACAGCAACAGATAAATTCCTGTTGTTTCAAGCACCCAGTTGTGGTGCTTCATTACAACAGTCCAAATAAAAGTAATCCAAGAGTTAAATGTGAGATCAGAGAAGAGCTGACAAGTAGTTCTCTTAAACTTTCAAACATAGCCCAGGATCCAAGAAGAAATTAAAGATTAAAAAATGTTTCATTGGAGCTGGGGCTGTAGCTTAGTGGTAGAGTGTTTGTCTAGCATGCATAAGGCCTGGGGTTCAATTCCCAGTACTACACAAAAAGAAAAAAGAATCAATGGTCTTGATATGGATAATAAATATATGTGCTTGGAAAGCTATCTGCCTATCTTACTAAGTAGGATTACAAATCAGGTTATAGAATAGCATGTAGAATAGGACCCTGCCCTTGTTAAATTATACAGGTAAAGCTGGAAGTCTTGAAGGATAAGTTGTGTTGCTACTGATGATGAAGTCTAAGAATATAGCAATTTTGTTTTATTCTCTGCCTCCTGATTTTAAACACAGTTTACATCTTAGAACTATGGATTCTCTTAAAAATCAAAATTTATTTTCACTGAGCAGGGAAAAGACTGAAAAATTCTAATGAGTTTTCTTTCACATTTGAGTCAGGCTGTGACAAAAAGGTAGCTACCGGTGCTGCTGTAGAAGGCCAGTCTGGAAGTTGTGTGAAATTTCTGAATCAGAAACTGAGACAAGGAGATCTTCTCATCTGTTTTCAGGGATTCATCCCCATTCTTCCAATACAGCATCAGATCTTCATCTGTATATGCATCTTTGGGGAGAAGAAAAGAAATTAAATCGGATGCCTTTGTTTCTGGGTGGCGTGCAGCAATAGAGTAGTCCTGCACCTGCCTGGGCAAACAGCTCTTATCACTGGCAGGCAGTGCTCACATTGGGTAGGGAATAAGGTGATGGAATAGAAAACATTGATACTTACAGCTCTCCAGCTCCAAAGAGCAGGTCTGGGAGTCCAGGGGAAAGTGGCTGAAGTCCATGTTGCACATGGCAGTGACAGTAATCCTGCACAACCCAGATATGAGAGTTGGCTTGTGCAACAAGCTATTGGCTCATGCACCCGCCCAAAGTGAGGAAGACACAGAACATGGCCAAGAGCAGCTGCCTCCTTGTGTTTATTTCAGAAGTTTGGTTACATAGATGTCTAACTTAAAGAACCTTAACTTCTAGAGTTTGGTCTTCTCTGACAGGTGTTATTAGTACTCTACTGGATCCCCTTTACTGGGCTGCTGCACCCCTTCTCCAGCCACTGAGGAGGGGTGTTGACTGCTAGTGGCCCACATCTGCACTCTTCTCTGGGCACTGCCCTCAACCAGCAGGGCTGCCTGCCCCAGAGGAGCCTGGGAGATTAGCACGCCCCATCCTTCACCCAAAACCAGGAAGTATCTAGTTTTATTATTTAATTCTGGTGAACTATAAAATCAGGCAAGTAAGATATGGAAAAAGATGGGTTAGTTAGTCCAGAAGCCAACCTGTAATGGCACTCAACAAACAATAGTTTTTGCTATTATTAGTATTTTATTATTTATTACCAATCAATTAGAATAGTACACCCTCAAGGATGGAATGTACGTAGGTCATTGTCTCCAACAACTCAATTAGACCAGAGTAGTTTTCTAAGCCATGCTTAAGATCCCCAGTGATGTGGAGGTCTCCACCTGCTGGGTGGCCTTTTCATTTTTGGACAATTCTGACTGGCATCGGAAGGCTCATGCCATCCCACAGATCACAGCAACAAACTCTTCCAGGCCAAAGGAACTGATCATACATAGTGGAATGGCACTGGACAAGAAACCATGGCCCCATGGATACTTGCCTCATGCTGTACAGCACATGACCATCTGGGAACACCCTCAGCATGATGTTGTCAGTGGTGGTGTCGTGAATGAATGACCTTTTGGAGTGAACAAAGAACACATCTGGGACCCAGATTTTCTTCACCAGCCGTCCATCAAAGGTCATGCTCTTGTTGCTGGTGCTGGGGAAGGCCAGCCTCTCATCCTTCCAGTAATGCCGCAGGTACAGGGTCATGGTGAAGTCCTATGGGAGCCAGGGGCAAGACCAGACTGAAATGGTTCAGAGAGCTTCCTTCCTCAAAATTCTGTTGTTCTCAGCTTCCAGAGTCAGGGGGAAAGTTCCACAGCCCTGGGCACCATAGCCAATGTGATGGTGCTGCTGCAGATGAGAAGGGCTCATTTTTGTGCCTCGTAAAGTTGGAGCCCAGGAGACAGAGCAACCCACAAAGGAAACTTACAGGCATGATGCTGTCATCCTGTCCTGCTGGCCAGCAGCAGGAATTTCCTCCAAAGCTCTGTTCTCACTCACTAGACCCTGAGTACATGGCTTTTAACCTATCTGGCTAACCATTTCATTTTGGCATGGTGGCCGGTTTCAGAAACCTAAACAGTCAAGGGTTCCTCTTAGAAAGATTTCTACCATTAGATTTCTACCATCATTGAAGGCATAATTGTGTCCTGACTATCACTGAATCCCTGTTCATCATTAGATGTAATGCCTGGAAAAGCATATGTTAGGTACTCAATAAATATTTGTTAGATGGAAAAATGGGAAGATGAATGGATGAGGACACAGGCAACTGCATACCTACTATAATTCCAGTTCAAAAGCTTATCCTGTTAAAAATTGTCTCCTTGGGCTGGGGATGGAAGTCAGTCATAGAGCAGTTGCCTAGCATATGCTGGGCCCTGGCTTTTGATTCCCATCACTACAAAAATAAAAATAAAGTATCCCCTTGTCTGTATAATTGATGGTCAAACTCAAGAGTTTGGTTCTTATACCATGGCCAGAGATAGGACACAAGATGCAAATGGAAGCAAGTGGACAAAGGATAGAGAAGAGAGTGAATGATGGTGGGCCAAGAAGAAGCCCTAGGAAGGGAAGAAAGAAAGAACAGGCACAGAGATTAGGCTTACGTGAAAGTCTGTCCCTAGACTGACCATCACTTGCCACAAATTCTTCTTCCATACATGAAGAAACAGCCAATTATGTGAGGAGGAGATGTGAGCCAAATGTCCCTTCTGGGTCCCACAGCTAGAGACCATGCTCTGAGGGACATTGCCCAGGGGGAGTGCCACATTGTAAATTCACAAACATGTGCAAGGCCAGCTTGGACAGTACCTACCTACCATTTTCTTTGTGGTGGAGCAACTGGTGGATTGCTCTAAGACAAGCAAGTCATTTTGGACACTTCTCTCTGAGATCCTCAGTCACACTTTCATAAGAGCCTTCACATCCAGAGTGGACATCTGTACTGATTCAGATTTAAAGCAGCCAGGCTAGGCCCAGACCCAAATGGTTCTGGAGCTGAACCTAACTGTTAGATATCCAAAGGATTTGGCAGTGTGCACTGTAGCATCTTGGAGACTGTCACATTCATACATTTCACACCTGGATACCCTCCTTTCCAGATGCTGGAGCTATGAGGGTGCACAGCATCAGTATCATATCAGCCTTGCTGTGCTGGGTCCAATAATAGCCAGGGAAGGGATGGGGAGTAGTGGTAGAGCACATGCTCAGCAAGTGCAAGGCCCTCGGTTTGATCCCCAGCACCAGCAAAAGACTAAACAAACAAAAAAGGAGCCAGGGAAGCCTCCTCCCTTCAAGGACACATGAGGAAACCCTCCCTCACTTTCTTTCATTCCACATATGTGTTGAGAGCCTCCATAGGTCTCACAGTGGGCTAGGCTTGGAGATACGGGGGCAAAAAACTGAAAGACAAGTTCCTGTACTTGTGGAGCCTATAGTCAAGTATGGGGGATGACCAATATACATGACACCTCCCCCAAAATAAATTGATAGCACATTTTAAATGAATGATGTGAACTAAAGGGAAAAACAGGAAACTTTTAGACCAGGTAGTCAGGGAAGCCCTTTAGAAAAAGCCTTATCTCAACTGAGACCTAAAGGATAAGGAGATGCCTGAGAGGGTCAGAGGGAGAGGTGTATGAGGAAAGAAGTAGTTTGCAAACTAGAAATGCAGAATGGAAAAGAGATAAGGTCGGACACTGAAGGGAAGGCTCCTCTCCAAGCCAAGGTCTTGCAAACAGCTGGGAGGTGTCTGTATGGGGTTAGTGAATAAATACAGTGGAGGGCATTTCTGTGGAGTACGTGGGGAAGCTGTGCACACAGCAGGAACTGAAAATCTAAGAACTACAGCATTTCAACCAAAATGGGTCATCTGACCACTCCCAGCATATGAGAAGTGTGTTCAAAAAGCAAAGTCCTGGGCCTCAACCCAGATATTCTGAAACCAGGAAGTATGTAGTGGGGCCCAGAAATCCGTAAGCTATTTCTACCCATAAAGCTTGAGAACCCTGCTCTAGACTTTACTGCAGCTGGGCCAATGCCCAAGCCCACATTTGGTCAGTTCCAGCTCCTGCCCTGCCCTCTCAGACACATCCTGCAACACCAAAGCTACCATCCCACAGGCTCTCACAGTAACTCAGCCATGGGACCCTTCCCTGGGGGCTACTGGCCCAGGGTATTGCATACCATGTCCACTTCAGAGATGCTGTCTAGACTCTCCACCTGCACGTCCACACCCACTGGGATGGCAGGGCCTGCAGAAGAGCAGAGAGAGCTGGTTAAGGCACACTCCTGGTGGGAGACGGCTCCCACCCACCTCCCCAGGGAGCCAGAACTGCGAAAGTGAAGAAGCAGTGGTTCAGAATCCCCTGTGGGTTTTCGTGCTAGTTCTTGGTGTGTGGGGAAGCTGAGCTTTCTCCACTGAGGCCTGGGACTGTGTCTGCTTTAGGTGCCTTTCTTGGTCCAAGCTTGGTGTTTAATTTATGCTTGTTGGATGAATCAATGAGCTGAATCACTACCTCCTGTATCCTAGGGATGTCTCTATGGGGTGAAGGCAATAAAACAGCTCTGGCAGCCATTATGAAGTCAAACAATAACAAGTGCTGGCGAGGATGTGGGGAAAAGGGTACACTTGTACATTGCTGGTGGGACTGCAAATTGGTGCAGCCAATTTGGAAAGCAGTATGGAGATTTCTTGGAAAGCTGGGAATGGAGCCACCATTTGACCCAGCTATTCCCCTTCTTGGTCTATTCCCTAAAGACCTAAAAAGAGCATGCTACAGGGACACTGCTACATCGATGTTCATAGCAGCACAATTCACAATAGCTAGACTGTGGAACCAACCTAGATGCCCTTCAATGGATGAATGGATAAAAAAAATGTGGCATTTATACACAATGGAGTATTACTCTGCATTAAAAAATGACAAAATCATAGAATTTACAGGGAAATGGATGGCATTAGAGCAGATTATGCTAAGTGAAGCTAGCCAATCCCTAAAAAACAAATGCCAAATGTCTTCTTTGATATAAGGAGAGTAACTAAGAACAGAGTAGGGTCGAAGAGCATGAGAAGAAGATTAACATTAAACAGGGATGAGAGGTGGGAGGGAAAGGGAGAGAGAAGGGAAATTGCATGGAAATGGAAGGAGACCCTCAGAGTTATACAAAAGTACATACAAGAGGAAGTGAGGGGAAAGGGAAAAATAATACAAGGGGGACAAATGAATGTCAGTAGAGGGGGCAGAGAGAGAAGAGGGGAGGGGAGGGGAGGGGAGGGGGGATAGTAGAGGATAGGAAAGGCAGCAGAACACAACAGACACTAGTATGGCAATATGTAAATCAATGGATGTGTAACTGATGTGATTCTGCAATCTGTATATGGGGTAAAAATGGGAGCTCATAACCCACTTGAATCAAAGTGTGAAATATGATATATCAAGAACTATGTAACGTTTTGAACAGCCAACAATAAAAAATTTAAAAAATAAATAAATAAAAGAATAGCATATCATAACCAAAAAAAAAATTTTTTTTGTAGTTGAAGATGGACAAAAAAAAAAAAAAAAAAAAACAGCTCTAGTGTCTGAGTGGAGACTCTGGTCATTTGTCCTCCTGTAAGATCCAAGAAGGATAGAACAAGCCCTAAGAGCCTCTGACCTGAGTTTGGTTTATCTGTGTGCTGGGATTTGGATTCATTCAACTACTGAAATTCTACCTACTGAGACTCTAGCAAGTAGTTGAAGTCCTGCCTTCTGGAAACTTTCAATCTAGAGTGAGACAAGGTCTCTATGCAAATTTAGATCACAGGAAAAGACAATAATCTACATGATTTTGAAATCTTTTCAGGGCATGTCAGGTGAAATAACATAGCACCTAAATAAATATTCAATTTTATCTGGATCCTGGAAGGATTTCTAAAACTGTGTTTATCTATGGGGTCCTGTCCTTTTAGTTGAGCTGGATGATGGGTACATTGTTAAGTTCACTTTGTGACAGTTTAGTGAGCTGTACACTTATAATTTGTGCATTCTTCCTTATGTCTGTTATTCTTCAGCAAAGTGTTTTTTTTTTAAGATTTTAACATTTAAAAATTTAGATTAAAAAAAAAAACCCTCAAAACCTATGTCTGTCAAAACATATGAACAAATGCCATTATAGTCACAGTTAAAAACATGTTCCTGGAAAGAGTCAGATAGCAGCTTGTGGGAGAGGCTTTTAGAGAGAGGAAATTGTCTGGCAGCTGCACCCAGGACTTTGAGCCCTGATCAGGAAGTGCAAGAATAGGACATTTTGACCTGAGCTGCTGTGATCTGAGCCCAGAAAACCTTAGGCAACAGGGGAGTCTGGGTCTCAGGGAATGAGAAGAATTGGAAGGAACTTCAACTGGAGCTAGGGAAGGAGGATCAGAGATCCTGACAAAGTAAGATTTAGAAGGTTCATTCCTCAATTCCAGCCCAAATGCAAGAAGTAGCCCAGGGCATTGGATGGGCTCACTGACTCTCTCCTAATCCCACCAGACCCCATAGGTTTGCTAATACTTCAAAAACCACTATTGGGGCTGGGGATGTGGCTCAAGCAGTAGCGCGCTCGGCTGGCATGCATGCGGCCGGGGTTTGATCCTCAGCACCACATACAAACAAAGATGTTGTGTCTGCCTAAAACTAAAAAATAAATATTTAAAAAAAACACTATTAAAATTTGGGATTTTGATTGAGGCTGATGGAATGGAAAAGTATTTCAGTTATTACTATGGGATTGAGAGAATATTTTCTGTGATCTTAAACATGAAAGCACATGAGCGCATTGCTTTGTTCTTTATTTTTCTTTTTCCTTCTCATATAAATCTGAATGTAAACTGATCTTTCTAGTTTACCATGTTCCTCAATTTATGGTTTAGATCAGGGCCCATGAGAAAGCCCTATTCCAATAGCCATGTTCTCTACTTATTCCAGGCTGCAGGGGTGCTTTGAAAGTTCCAGAAGTGGAATGGTAAGGGTGGGAGGAGCCCCTCCTCAGGGCCAACCAGCCGGCACCCACTCTATCCCCCAGGAGGGGGGATACTTAACAACTGGAGGCCAGCCTGACACCTGGACCCTCTTCCCCAGTATTCAGATCTCCACTCAGTGCTGAGGTTCCCAACATTGCCATCAGAGGACAGGTGCTGGTTAATTATCTTCTGGATCCTTCCTCAGTCTGAGATATTAAAACACCGCTGTGCTCTGTGCAAAGTGTGCTACACTCTCTATCTGGTCTCCTTTACCCTCTCATTCCCTTCCTTTGGAGTGCCAGGTGACCTGCTACATAGTTCCAAGAGCCAAAGGGAAGAAACAGTATAGCAATTGCCTTCTTTGGATAAACTTTCAGTGACCTGGTTTTCAGATAATGTGCACAGTGTTTGACTAGGAGCTGTTTGGCTCAGGGTATTTTCCAGATAAAATACATCAGCACACACGCTGACTCTTCCTGTGCCTCTCTGTCTCAGGACCTAGCTCGTTCCCACACCTCCAGTTGCCCTTTTTCAAAGAAATTTGGCAAAACCTCTTGGGAAGATTTCAGTGTTCTCAAGATAACGCCCACATGGAGCAGGTCAAGATCTCATGTGCCCTGGGTTGTTGTAGGCAAACCATCTTAGACCATGTATATTCAGGAGGCTTGAGAACTGCTTTGAGTTTAATCTTGAACAGATACCAATGTCGCTGCCCTCCATGATTTAAGCTTTGCCTCTAACCCATACAACTGCTGGGATTGTCTGAGTTTTCCACTTTGTGACCCTTCCCAGCCTACTTTGGGAAGAGATTCTTCTGAATTAATGTTTTTTTCTTCTTCCATTAACAATTTTATGTTTTGAGTGTGCGGAGTCCTTTCAGAAGGAAAGTAGTCTAGTTAAACTACGTTTTCATGACTTGGTCATTTAGCACTGTTATGTTTTTTTTTTTTTTAAATTGGGGTATAATGAGCCAATTTGAAGTCCATGGGATTTCAGGTAGGATAGCCAAAGAGGTGGCAAATTCAAGGCAGCATAAGGGAAATACATAATTAGCAAAGGGCTCTCCTCAGTTCCATTCTTTCCCACCATTCTTTTCTTCTCATGATCCTAGAAAGCACTGTTAGGGCTCAACTTGTGAATGAAGACTTATGTCATTGACTCTTCAAGAATCTATATGAAATAGAATTTTCAGATAAACTAAAGTGAAAATTTGCCAACAAGCATCCTACCCCAACTGAAGTTGTCTTTCAAGGAGAAGACATGTGATCTGAAGGGGAAAGCTAGACATGTGAGAAGGAATAAAAAACAACACAAATAGTAAATATATGCAAAATTCTAAAAGAACATCAATTATGCAAAACATTACTGATAATTTATTGTGCAATGGAAAAGCCTGAACTAAAATACATTACAAAAATAGCTTTTAAGCAAACAAGGGCATAGATGGCCTAAGAGTGTTCTGAGGTCTTTGCATTGTCCAGAACAGTAGAAGCAGCTGATTAACATACAAATGTGATAAGCCAAGGACTCCTCATTCTGTTTTCAGGGGAACCACCAGGTAATGGTAAGAGTTTGTACCTTCTAAACAAAAATAGGAATAATAATAATAATAATAATAATAGTAATAATAAATAACCAGTCAAAAAGAAAAAAGGCAGAGAGAAAAAAATGAATATAGAGTTGGTTAGACAGTAGAAAGGACAGAGTAGAATAAAAATTTATGATATATTGTGCTATAAAGCAATTTCAACAAATTTCAAAGCACTAGAATTGATATAAGGTGTTATCTCAACATTCATTAGAAAATTAAAACAAAAATATAACTAGATGCAGGCATCATAGAGAGCTTTCAGGAGCCAATCTGGAAATACACACCCTTAAGTCCTGAGAAAGAGATACTGAACAATTATAGCACCCCAGAATGATTTGGACTTTAGCTCCATTCGGATAATGAGGCGTGGCTCCAGGAGTAGGCGTTACCCAGTGGGGTTGAATTATACTCACCTGTTCCTTTGTAATCCTACCCCTTGCCTCATTTAATAGCTTCTCCCCAATAAAACCGGGTTCAAGGCATGCTCCTTTTCTTGTTTGCCTTGCCTCCTTTTTGGGAGCTGGGTCAGAGGAGCCATCACAGAACCCAAAAGAAAAGGTATTTCTCTGTGTGTCATTATTTCGTGTGTGTGTGTGTGTATTTTTTTCCATACATTTGGGAATTAAGAAATATACTTTTGGGGCTGAGGATGTGGCTCAAGCGGTAGCGTGCTC